ATTTTATTGATAACACTAATTCCTACTTTGACAATCAGTACTCCTTATGGTATCGTATCTGAAGCACAATTGATATCTATAGAAGCAGTAAGTATATGGTTAAATAATCAATCTTCATGGTCTCAATGTATGTGTCAAGCTCTTCAATATACACAACCATCAATTGTAGCATTTAATATTTTTTTAAATAATAAAACATGTCAATTAATTTCAAATATTTATTCTTCAAATGCAACATTTTATATAATATCATCACCAAATTCTACGCTTTATATTTTAACAACAAATTTTATTTATCAATTAAAATCAATATGTTGTTCAGATATATCATGGCTTATAAATAAAATTCAACAATCAGATACATTTCATAATATTAATATTACACAACCAGTTGGTTTAGCACTTGATTATGATCTTAACATGTTAATAGTAACTGATGGAAGTCGAAGATCAATACAACAGAGAGAAGCAACAATAAATATGACTAGTAAAAAAAATTTATTTACAAAAACTAATGCACAACCAATTAGTTATCATGAAGGAGTTTATTATATTGGTATTAATCCTCCAATTTCAACTTCATCATATTATCTTTACAGTTATAACACAAGTTTATCACGTATTTTTGATATGCCTTTTCCAGAAGGTGATCCTCAACGTGCTGTATGGCTTTATAATAATTCAATAATGTGTGTTATTATTCAACAAAATCAAACTTCAACATTAGCTTTTCTTAATTGGTATTCATCACCATTCAATTTTACATATAATCGAACAATATCAATTCCATTTAATAAACCTTATGGTTTAGCAAAATCAAATGATGATACAATGATTTATGTTAGTGGAGATACAGCAACAATTTATCAATTATCTACTAGAACATTTACTTGGTCAATGCTTGTTTCAAATTATAATAGTACAGAAATATCGATGTCTTTATTTGTTGATTCTTGTGGTGATCGTCTTTGGGCACTTATGTTAGGATTTGGTATTCGTGTATATGATCGAATATATGGAAATGAACTTGCTTCATGGAATATGTCAATGACCTATCCGACTCTTTATGATATGATATTAACATCTGGTTACGAACTCTATTTAGTGGATTATTCAACGGAACAACTTATTCACTATGGTTCATCATTAAAAGAACGATGCACAATCAACACATGAAAACATTTCAAATAATAAAGAGATTGTTTCATTTACTAAAGAAAAAATGATTCTCTAGTCTCTTTAAAATAGTTGCTAATTGAAAATCATTATAATTATAGTATATAGTTTTTGTATATGTCATGTACTATGATGAATTTGATTCTAAAAATAAAATTAAAAAGTTTATTAGTGCATCTTTTTTTGCGCCTATAATATGGAACTTAATGTCTACTTGAACTTCATTAAACTCTGACAGACGATAGCTGCTTTCCCAAGATAATCGATACTTCGAGAACGCTATGTTTTATTTATTTTACTTTTCAATCAGAATTTTTTTATTTTTCTTGTCACTATGCACTCGTTACTTATTTTCTATTTTTAGAACTCGCATATATTTTTGAAGAAAATAATGAATGTAAGTTTCAATGAAGTTTCTTTCAGCTTTTCCTCTATGTTTTCTCTGGCAACAAAGCGGAGGAAGGAAGACAGCAATCATTTATTAAGTTTCTATAGCAACCATGAACAACAGGCTTCAGATCTTTGTCTCAGAGATCCCTAGCAACAGAAAAAGACGTTGAATGGCATTAACAACGAGACTTAGACTGTGCTAAAATAGATGTCCCGACTTCGATAAGAATTTTTTTTTTTAATTCATTCTTCATATTTTATTATGATTATCCTACTTAACACTGATCTACTGAACAACTGAGATAAATTCAGCAACACTGATATTGATTATTGTTGAAAGTGAGATCTTGAAATTGGTTCATGCTTTTATGTTGATTATATGTCAACTTGAGCAAATCAATACATCACTAGTCGTCATCTCTGATATCTATCGATATTATATATAGTCATATTCAAATTCAAGGAAGGCTTTGAAATGTTTTAGAACCGCCTGAAACTTGTTGTTATTAATGCTATTCAATGCTTTTTTTCTCTTGTTCAAGAATTTATGGAACACCATTTTATTGCTCTTTCGCTATGAAAAAATACTCAATGCTCTTTGCTTCGTTGATGATGATGTGATGGGATTTGCCAAAAAAGTTCTATTCAAATTTCAAATCCCTATTTTTCTTCGAATAACATAAAATGAGTTCCATAAAATGTTATTGTATAGTTAACTACACTTACTTTTCCCATTTTACAATTATTCAATATCTGCTTGCATAAAATATACAGACAAGAACTGTACAATTTTATTTAGTTGATCAAATAAATAAAATATATTCTCAAATAATACAATGACTCATTCGTAGAAATAAAAGTGCTACTAAATATATTAATTGACAATCTATAAAATATCTTAATCGAAATATTCAAAGAACAAAAACTATATTTGTAAAAACGATGGCAACATTTTTTGGAGTAAAAAATAAAGAAATAATTTGTTTCGACTATGTTTTATGAATAAATAAAGGTTAATAGAAGAAATGACAATTGATATTCATAACTTCTTTTTTCGACTAAAATAATTTAGTAGCAAAGAAAAAGACGTTATATTTGACATTTATGGAAACAACAAATAAACATGCAAGATTAAATATTGATTAATAGAATGATAAGAGTTATTTTGTTTTAAAATTAGAATTTAGACAGTATCAACAGAGATGTTTTGTTCTTTGACTTTTTTAAGTTGTTCTTCAAGAAGATCATGAATTTTTAGTGGAATATTTGGATCTTCTAAAGCTGCTTCATAAAATTTAATTAAAATTTGTTCACCACGATGAACTTCAGTAATAATTACTGATTTATCACGACCATCGGTAAACCATGCTTTAACATCAATCCATGTTCGATGAGCAGCTGCAATAGCTGAACCTGATTTTATTCTGAAATATTAAATGTAAAATATATATAAAAAATTCAAAAAGATAAAATACGTACGGTTCAACACCTAAATCAACTTTAATAACATTTGATAATTGACCAATGAATTCAGCACGACTTGCAGCAATTGTTTGAAAGAGTAATTTCATTGTTGTATCTTTACAATCATCAGCACATTGTTTATAACCATTGTATGAATCATATAATGTTTCTAATACAATTTGACATTTTTCTGCTATGTTTCTATGAAGATTAGCTGCTTCATCAGAAGCTACTTGTGAAGCAAGTGTTCCTGTAGCTGTATTTGATGACATATGTTATTATTAATAATGCACAATGAAAAAAAAACAATACGAAATATATATATGCACTGCACACTGTTTTGTAAATGAGTTTGAACACATCACATGCCATTTTCTATCAATGACGAATCATGAAATTGACTAGTATTGGAATTTGAAAGATGTCGCACACTGAAAAATAGACTATTGAAAAGAGTCTAGTATTAGTAATGTATATATAATGGTGAATCAAAAAACGTACTAATTATCATTTAAGAAGTTTTCATAAAATATTTTTTCTTAAATAATTTGAGTTAAAATACATGATTAATTGAGAAACTATTCATGGCAAATATTATTCCTACAATAAAGTGGAGGTGTGTCTAAATTCCGTGAGATGTGAACTCATGAGATTCTCAAAAGTGCAACTTAACTCATGGAACTTAAGTAATTTTGGCAACTGAAGCAATCCTAGCGTTGAAAATGAAACTTGACTTTACTAGAGATAATAAAACTCTTCAATTGTCTGTTTTAGATATTTAAATTATAAAAAAAAATGAATATGCGTGGAGTGGCTTCATAGAAAAAACTAATTCAAAAACATCGATTGAAACATATGAAGGATATTTTTATTTTTTGATTGTGTTCTCATTTAACTATGTGAAATTGTTTGTAGTATGTATGTTTGATTTTATTAGTTTTATTAATGTAGAATAAAGCAGCTAATTTTTGAATAAAAATATGCATCATCATAAATTATTCAGACAAACTTTTCAATATTGATATCATAAAGGATAATCATCAATGTAAAGCTATGACGTATCACATTTCAACTCACGATTAATTACCAATATTTTGACAATTTCGAAGATACAGGACGTATTTTGAAAAATTTATTAAAAATAATATTTCTTTAACAATAGAACAATTTTTTATTATAAATAAAACTCAATTTCAACGTTACACGTATATGCGATGAGAAAAATAAATGTATTTTTTGTCTTGTTTAAAATAATTTATTGAAAGTATTTTTTACGAAAAAATTTGGAAGAAAATTATTTTAGGAACGTGTTACATTAAGACATCGAAAACATGGATCACAACATTTTTCTCTAGCTGGACAATCAACATCATTGTTACAATTGGATGGCAAACATAAAACTACCGATGGATCAGGACTTGGTGGACAAGAGCCAGATTTTTCAGTAGGACAACAATAAGTATTACCTTCAGCGGTTACAGTACAGATGCCTTTTGAATTTGAACATGTGCTTTGTCCTTCTTCGCATGGATATTCATTTAAAGGTGGTCCTAATTGGCATGGATTACATTCACATGTTTGACAACCCAAGTCATCGATGATATAACCATAAGGACATGGACTCATACACTTGACTAAGTAAGGACAATGTTTTCGAATTCCAGTTTTATCATTCAAAACCGTTGGTAAACTTGTTGATTGCTCATAAAAAATTGTTATAAGAAAAAATAGAATTAGGATGAATTGTTTTTTCATAGTTCTAAAACTGTAGAAAAGTTTTGTTTGATTGATAATCAAAGAGAAGAAGGCTTTTACTTGAATAAATTGATATTTATATTGCTTGTTCGTTTTCGGTATCGTTATTTGCTTTGGTCTACGTATACCTGATTATATATTATCGTACTGGCGTCATTTCTACATAAAGACGAAAAAAGAAAAAAAAACGAAGGTGTGTGAGCGTGGTTTGATCACGGTTTTCACGTAAAACTATTTGTCATCAAATTGTAACCTTGTAGTAATGACACATGTAGACGTCAATTAGTTCAATTTCTTTTTGGAAAGTTTTGATTATTTTTTCAATGAATTATGTCATGATTAAACAAGACTCTTAAACATAATCTTATGATCAACTCATTACTTAGGTTTAATCAAAAGTTTTGATAACACTGCTAGTAATTTTATAAATCAACTAACATGTAAGAGTCTGTTGCATGAATAAATATTAAAATATCTTGTCTGCAAATACTTGATTTTGGGCTCAGTTCTAATATTCTTCTAAATAATATCCAAGTTCAACAAAAAGAAATTTGGCAAAAGGGATCATGAATTCGACTAATACTATATTAAAATTTGAACTATTCTGAGAATGGATACAAATAACTATTCATGAGAAACTTCAAGCAACATTGGAACCTACCACTTCAACATATCGAAAGGTTGCAAGACGAGCAAAGTGTTTTCATCAAGGAAACAGAGATATTAATGATGGTGAATTCCCGTTTTGTCGAAAATCTAATCTGAAGAGCAAATTTGTTCAAAGTGATGAGCGTATACTAATACTAAAGTATTTTGAAAATCAACTTCAGACTTTCATATGTATTTTTGTTTACTATACTTGAGTGAAAGATCAAAATTAAGCTTGACGCGTCTATTTTTCAAGTGATTTTTACCAGAACTACAATAAATATAAGCAACTATACTCTTTGAAATAAATTAATGCCTATTTTGTCCCTTCTGTCATGCTCTGATTCAGAATAAAGCTTTTTTCTCTGATTTGCTACAACAGCAATTAGCTTAATCATGAACTTAGTTTCAATATTATTAAGTAAATTTGATTAAGTTGAAGGACGAAACATATGGATCACTGTTGTTTAAGAAACAATTGGTAAGTATGATCTGTTGTGCGGTACAAGGACTTGAAGTTTGAATCTGAGAAGGAAAGGAAACTACCAGAACTGATACCCACCGTTTGAGCTCACAAGAAAATCGTGATAAGACTAGAAAAGGCTTTTAATAGTGCGTGCCTATTGATCTCTTGAGCTGATTGATAACTGTTTAACTGAGCTTTCGATCCATTTGTAGGTACTTAATCGAAAATTAAATAGCAGAATTTCTCTATGGAATTTCGTCCATTGACAGTTCTAATGACTCTTAGAGCATTTTACAAGTTTCAACTCAAAAGAATGTTCATTTATCGAGATATTTAATTTACAAAAGAATAGTCATTCGCCACCGACATTTCAAAAATCGAGTCCACCTAGAACTCTAACATCTCGACAAAGTTACATTCTTTTTAGCCGAAAATTTTCAAAATATTTCAAGGGTCATTATTGGGTGTGGGTGCGCTTGCGGGTATTCGTTCTCTTAATTCTTGCACTTCACCCACAACCATCCTCCCTATATCACTCAAACCGTCAGTTAACCGCGGTTCGCCAGCTGAATATTTTCGCGTATCACAGAACATGAATATTTTTAAATTTCTTCTTTCTGTAGAATCTGTGTATTTGCTTGGCTTGTGAGTATGTTGCGTGCAATCACCTAGAAAACGATCACATATTTCGGGATAAATTAATCTTGTCATATTATTAAGATAAAGAGCGTTTTTTAGACATTTTATTGTAACTGATCATCATTTTTCATTGAATTGGAAAACAAACATGTATATGATGTGTCACTTAGTACATGCGTTGAGATTAATGATCTAATGCAGAACAATAATATTCAACTTGTTGAAAATACAGGCCCAAATTTTACCACACACATATTAAATACTGATAACAGTCAGGGATAAGCTGCTGGATTTAACAAACAGAATATGAAGTAAGAAAAAAACATGAATGAGATTTTATTCTAAACTTTAAATATAATTTAGTTTAAAAACTCATTGATAAATTGATTTGATTTCCAAAAAAAGTCATCCAAGAATGACTTAGCGTGCTATGGAAAATCAATACATGAAATTACTGAAAAACGTGTAAAGAAAATAAATAGATCTTCAGAGATTTCTGAAAAAAGTAAATTAATACACGCACGTTAATGGGCAATATGAAGGATTCACAACTTCAAACAAAAAATTCAAATCAATTGTGCAGATTTTAACAAAAGAGAACCCATGTCACAAAAACCGGATCAGGTTTAGAGGTAAACCGGAAAAAAAGTAGCGGTTTACCGCGGTTTTTCTATGTCAAGGAGCCGGTAACCGTACCGGTCAACCGTGGTTAACCGCCGGTTTTGCCCAGTTTTCATCACATGGGAAGCAACAAAAGGAAAAACAGATCAATCAACTTTGTGAAGATTTCAATAAAAAAAAATCAAGAAACAGAAATTAGAAAAACGTTTATAGAGGATTGAGTGTAAGCATACGCAAGGGAAATACATAAAAAAACAATTAAGTCAAAATCAAATTAATCTTAAACATGATTTGCAAGTAAAAACTACCGTAAGAAAATGTTTTTGTTTTATGAAAAGATACAATTTTGGTTTTTACAACTTTTTTCTTCCATAGGAAATACAAGAATTGAAGAATCAAATTACGGATAACATGTTACATCTTGTAATTCGTTCAAAATTTGCATCACTTGGACAAGGCACTTAACCCTCACAATAATGAAAAGTTTTGCCAATATACGTTATTTTTGTAACAGTGTCTTGACGGCGAGCAATAATTAACGCAATTGGAAATGGCTGATGAACTCTCAACAAATAAAATCATTGTTAATCCATCATCAAATAAACGTCCACAACGAAAACAAAAATAATTTCTTTTTATCATGTTATGTATTAGTTTTCATTTTATATAATCAAGAATTTTTTGTGAATGAAAAAAAATAATTGTTTTAAAATCCAGACACTCATATATCATTTTAACTCAACCATTGACTTTTATTTAGTACAAGTAGTGGTGGATCGAGGATTTTTTAGTTGCTGGATTTCACCTTCAGAACATGAGACCCAGATGAAACTTATAGAGGTATAATACTGGACCCAAATGATGAGTTTTTATCAAAAGATTTTTTTCAATAGGAGTTTGCGAAAGAAATTAGCATTTTCCTGAGCCTTTCAAGGTTTTTCTTTTGCTATTAGTAGTATACTGTTTCTTAGAATTCAATAGTAAACTATATCAAAACTCATCGATAAATTTCAAATTTCATCTAAAAATATGCATCCGTTCAAGAGCTAAAATGTTTTGGATTTTCGCTTCATGCTGCTAAAATTTTTGAAAAAATTCAAAACATTATAACTCCTCAACAGATGCATATTTTTAGATCAAAATTTGAAACCTGTCGATGAGTTTTGATATAGCTTACTATAAAAATCTAAGAAACAGAATACTACTAATAGCAAAAGAAAAACTTTGAAAGGCTCAGGAAACTGCTAATCTTTTTCGCAAACTCCCATTGCAAAAATCTTTTTTGATAAAAACTCATCATCTGGATCCCATGCTCTGAAGATTGAAATCCAACATACTGAAAAGTCGTGGATCCGTCATTAAATACAAGTATAACTAAATTGTTTTTGACAATATACCCGATTATAACAAACGACCTGTCTATGTAAAAGTACACTTTGGTGTATAATGTTGCTTATGCAGTTGTAATTTACAGTAGAAAAATAATAGATTGCCCCAGTAATCGTCCTACTGTGTGATGAAAAGAAATTTTGTCTGATTCATAAAAACATTTATATCAGACAAAAATATTGACTTGTGACTATAAACTGCTCGAACAAATTATGTTTTCATAAATAAAACAAAGTTTTTTTTAATAGATAAATACGTTCTTTTCAAAAAAAGTGTTAAGTAGTTCTCAAAATCAGAATTATTATGAAGCCGTCGTAGGTCTAGTTGACACAATAAATTTTACAGCAACTGTTCTCGCTATACAAAAAATGAATACGAAATTTACATAACCCTTGTATCACACTTGTTAAAATCAGTTATCCAATCTGTTGACGTTCGAAATGTAACACAAACAAAAATAATGTTTCAATTAGTAATAGATAAAATGATTATATACTTAGAGCTCTTCAAAAACTCTGACAATATTATATAAAAATAACGTATGATGCTTTTTATGAATTACCTGAATCGTATTCAACTCTCTTCTAAAGGAGACACGAAAGTTAATTGAGGTAATGATCTTATGATATCTTGTATGAAATCAGTGAAACAACGAATCAATCTTAACAAAACAATTGAATCGTTTTGACTGAGCATACAACAAGTACTACACATTTGTCTTTGAGGAAAAATGCATCATCAAGTTATAAACAACATCAAAAGCTGAACGAAAACATAAAAAAATAACAAAACTTCTACAAACTTAAGAAATTAAATTTTGTTAGAGCATTACAAAATCTTCATACGCGACTTATCCACATTCTGAGGACATCTTTTCGTTAGAGGGTCTCACGCAATCCATTAACTCTATTACTTCCTATATCTCGATGATCTGCTAGATCTTCTCTTGTAGAAACTATCAATGTTATGGAAATTCAAATGTTTTTTCTTTGAAATTTTTCTTCTGGAATATTTTTAGTTATTTTGAAAATCGCATGATCTAATTATTGGTCATTTGCTTGGTCAGGTAAATTATACTCGATATAATCATTTAGCTCAAAAAAACCACACAACATTGAGTCTGTTTAAAACGATAGATACGGCATTATATTGATACCTTCTTGTTTTAAATAATTGATTAATAAGTGAATAAGTATGAGGTAGAGTACAGTCATGAAGTATTTTTTTACTTTTTGCA